CTTAGAAATACATCTACTTTAAGATGATGGTAAAAGCTTTATAGGTTATAATTCAAAATTTCTTCCAAAAATTTATAAAAATTATTTAAAAATACAAATTTAAAAAATCAATCATAAAAAATAGATGAATTTTATTTGGAATGAACCGAAATTTCGAACTGTTAAGGAAAGAATCAAGTAAGCAAAAAAGCAAAAAAAAAAAAAAAAAAGATATCAATGAAATACATACCAAATTCAATTAACATGGAAGTGCTTAAATTCTGAGAGCTAATATTTTAAAAAGTACTCGTGCAATTTTTACAAAACTTTGCAGTTTGGCATAATTTGAGTCGTAGAATCAAAACATGGAAAACGATTGGCATGTCATTTCAGAAAAAGTCACATTTTGTGTCAAAATACCTATATTAGAACAATGCTATATATATAAATCTAATACATATACTAAGTCGCGATTTCGAGACATGAAAAGCGCATTTTGAATTTAGTCAATCGGGATGGGAGATATAGAAATGTCGGCCCCCCTTTTTTTCCCACTGTGTACATCAAGGCACATAAAATGTAAGGAGTCAGGGCTCACAGTGCACGGAAACTTAAAAAAAAAAAAAGAAAGGCACATTTTTAGGCATTCTTCTGCAAGTGAAATTCAATCTGTATGTGCAGTTATGACTACAATAAAACATCAGGATGCCTTTACACATGGTAGAATGATTGACAAGCTTGAGAAGTGGCATAGTTGATATCTGTCAACCAAGAATTTGGGACTGATAAAAGTTTGTTTTATAAGTTTGGAATGCCTTCCAAGCAACAGATACAGATGTAAAAAAAGATAATTATAGTCAGCTAAAATGATGACTGAAATATTGAATCAATCAAAACTAGAAAAAACCAGATGAAAAGAAATCAAAACCAGTCAGTGGGCAAAACTGCTCAGCATTTCTGCATGGCAACCAGATAGCAGTTGTTCTGATTTATTGTAACCTCTTTACTGTGTGATTTCATAAAGGTGGCCTATTTGCTCACCATTCTGAACACTGTCTGCCATTAACAGCAGCCCATCAGTGGCACTGTATACAGTTATGCAAAGAACACAAAGACTGGTCACCTCTTCAATGGAGTCACATCCTCTTTACTGATGAGAATTGCTTTAGCCCGACAAAAAATTCTCGATACTAGTTAATATGGTGATACTCTCTCATCCTACTAATATCAGGAAAAGAAATCATTGTGATCGTCCTGGCATGCTTATAGGGAGGCCATGATGAACAGATAGATGGAGCTCCATATTTTCGACATAGGCTCACCTACTGGAGATTGTTACTGTCATAAAGTTGTCCTCTCCTACATGGGGTCTCTTCTGGGTGCCATTGGTGGAATTTGTTTTCATGGATGACAATACACAACCACAAAAGACTCATACTGTTGAGGACCTCCTGGAAAGTGAAGATACCCACAGACTGGATTGGCCAGCAAGTGCCTAACTTAAATCCTATTGAACATGTATGGGATACTTCAGGGAGATGCTTAGTGGCAGGATCTTATTCTCTGGAAAACACCACAGAATTGAAAACAGATGCTCCTTGAAGAATGGGAAATCTTACCCCAAGGACTGTTAGATAATCTGGTGTTGAGTATCAACAGATGGTGCAATGCAGCCATTATAGTTAGGAAAGGTCATATCTCTTACAAAGGCTCTATAGATTGTTCTTCTCCCTCTTGACCAGGCAGTTTTTTATACCAAAAATAAAGCCTCAATAAAGCCTTTTTCTATTTGTTCCGTACTATATATATATATATTTTTTCTAATACTATCCTCATCCTTTAAGCATTATATTGTGCCTCTGAAGTACATACTTCATGTCTACCAGTTGATTTCTTTTGTGAAATTCCGGTCAAAATCAGAAAACTTGCTTAAGTTTTACATACCAGTGTCTATTAGCTAAGAATTTTTAATTTCTTAAGATTGACTGTATTATCATACAGTTGTGAACTTCACACACACACACACACACACACACACACAAAACAAAAAACAAAAAAAAAATTATCACAGTAACTAAAAATGTCTGCAAAAGGCAGAAAACAAAATTACCCTTGGAGAGCTGCCATACGTTCGTTTGAGGGAGCAAATTGTTTAACTATAATCATTGTGGGCATATATAGACACACACAAAAAAAGACACTCATTGAAAATTTTATACCTTTATATCATCCGATTCGAACTATTGGTAGAAGACACCGTTTTGAATACTGAGCGAGTTCCAGACAGCCCAATATTGTTGTGTCGTAGGACTATAGATTGAAATGGTAGGTTTCCTGATTGAAGATTCCATTAAGTCAATTTAAAGCTGTAACGTACTGCACTTTGACCCTGGAACAAAATGGCAAATTTCTGGCCAAAGATAGGGAGGGTGTCAGCGTTTCCATGTGATGATCCCTCCCAATGAATGACCAATAGTGATGTCAAATTCTTGAAGTCTCTGTATCAGTCAGGCTATTTGAGATTCGGGATTCTTGAAATTTAACAGCCATTTCAACAATGCATAATCTGTGTTGAGAAGGAATTCAGCCATGCAGATAATATGGAAATATTCTATGAAAAGCAAGTTGTTCTTAGTGACACAGTAATTCCTCTCTATTTTTTTAGATAGACACTTGCTTCAGTATGCCAAGACACGTTCTTGACCATCACATTGCTCACATTTGTGTCAAAAATAAGTGTTTTGGCAAGCTGAGGATACGTCAGGATCATAGCAGATGTTAAAGCCTTCTTCAGTCTCTTAAATGCATCCTCTAATTCTTTGGTCCACAAGAACTTTTGTTTGCTATCTGTCAGTTTGTGAAGGGGTCTTGAGATGGAAGAAAAGTCCTTCCCAAATATCCTATAATACCTGCAAAGCTTCAGGAAACTTCTCAGCTGATGAACATCGTCAGGGCATCTCCAATCTTTAACTGATGACACTTTTTCTGAATCCATACACTCACTTTCTCCAGAGATGATGTTGGGCCCACCAGCAGCCGAGCGTTAAAGTCACTGAAGACTGATGGTTCGGCCTGAGGTTCAAACCCCGCGAACGGGCTGGCTGCATGGGCGTTTTCATTGTTTCCCCATGTGTAACGCGTATACGAGCCAGTTTCCCATAGAAAGTCCTCCATGAAGGCATCCCTCCCCTTAGGCAGATAGCTCTAGTGTGCTTTGCCATAATTAAATAAACCAAATCAAACCAGAAATGATGTGCCCAAGTTAAGTCACTTCCCATCTGAACAACTTATATTTACAGGACATCACTTGAAACTGCCTTCCTTTAATTTTTGAAGCACCTTCCTAATAGTTTTCTAAATGGACTTGAAAACTTTTTCCGGTGATGATTATGTCACACAGATAAATCAGACAGGCTTTAAATGAAACATTCCTCATGGTCTCCATGAGGCATTTCATTGTTGTCACACATATTACATAATCCAAACAGTATCACCTTTAACTGCCGACGTCCTTGTTTGGCTATAAGTGCTGTCTTTTCTCCGTCATCGAGGTATATGTCTACCTGCATAATATCCACTCTTTAAATCAAGCATCAAAAATCACTTGCTTTCAGAAAAAGAGGGTCCAGGAAGTCATCAGTTCTCGGAAGAGGGTAGCTGTCTTTCTTTGTAGCCTTGTTCGACTAGTTCATTGGAAATCTAGTAGAACCACCTTTCAGACCGGACGATGGGAAAGGTCCAAGGACTTGCTGAAGGCTTGACAACATCGCTTTCTTGGATGTCCTTTAGAAGTTTCCTACCTCTTTCTGTTTAACAATCAATAGACGTCTTGGATGTTGGTGATATCAATTCTATGCTGTGCCAAACTGGTTCGACCTACATCAGATGACCAGAAGAAAATTTCTTGAATGACATGTTCGGTGGCATCACTCCTCACTTCATTACTTAGTTGTGCTTTCTGTAATAACTCAGATATTTGGGTCTCCGAAGATACAGAGATTCATGGAGAGTAGGATTGTTTAATACAGGTTACTGGAGTATGTGCTGTAACCACTTTGCCTTTCCTAATGATTTTCCCTTTATCACCTATACTGGCAATTTTTGCAAGAATGATGGTAATTGTAAGTCAAGGACTGCTGAGGCTACTAATACTCCTCACAGGGTGTTACAGCTCTTGGGATATTCGATTATACCGTACCAGAAATTTCTGTTTTTGGCTATGGATCCAGGAATTAAAAATTCTGCCCTTGTTGCTAATGTGATATCGTCTTGAGCTTTAATTTGATGGGTGAATTTAACTCCATCTTTTATTATGAATAGGGTTATGTCCTCAAAGATAAAATGCAGTTTATTTTTGAAGGCCAAGGAAAAATTATATTTCCTCAGAAAGTCTAATCCGAGTATATAAAGGTTAGTAATATTTTCTACATATGCCATGCCACGGTAGGTGGCAATTCTAAACATGACATTTCCGTTTTGATCACGTCGATTTTATTGACGGACACAATCTGAACGGTAACACAAGGCACTGTCCAGATGAGTTTACCTTTCAGTTGTTGAGCCAAATCTTTTTGAATGATGGTAACACTGGCTCCTGCACCGATGGTCATACTGTAAAGAAGAAACTCACACTGATATGCCCCATGATGAAAATTCCATTACTGCCATCACTCACTACATAAATCTGAAGTGCTTTAAAATGGGTCTTCTCATAATCTGTACCCTCTGCCCCACAAGATGGTCACTAATTAGTTTCACTCCTTCTTGCTGGGAGCGGTCTTAGCTTCTGTGCCTTAGAGTGTTCTGCAGTTCCTTCGTACATGGCCTCCAGCACTGCAGTTCAAGCACTTTAGGATCAGTTTCTTGTCACTCGTGTTTCATCTCAATGCAGTGATTTTTGCCTGATTAAGTCATCTAGTTGAGCAGTCACTTGATCCATTGCTTCCTAGACTTGAGAAATTCTAATTGGGAATGGAAGAAATTAATCAAAACATTATAAATACATTTAATTTTATACATACTTCTGCAGGCTCCAAGACGGCACCAGAATACGCATACGGAAAAGGTCCATACCACGCAACCAATCTAGGCTGTGTAACTTCTTCACCTTTAATAACAATTTTTTTATCAGACCATGTTGTAGTGTAGGATAAGATTTCAAAAAATTCATCAGCAATCTCCTGGGGCAAAAAATCTGGCTCATAGATAATCCTTTTGAAACAAAATAATATTGGAAATAACTATATTAACAAAAACTAATGAATAACAAATTATTTAAATAAAGGCAACAAATAAGGAATGTATGATATCTAAATGAAAAAGAATGATTACCATAATTAAAACAAACATATTCAATTGTAAATTTCTACTGAAAAAAAAAGAATAAAATTAAATTATCTTTCCATTTTTCTAAAAATTGATAAATTTACTGAATAAAATCAACATATTGATACTTCATTATAATACACATTTACTTAAAATAGCATTTAAAGTTATTTGTAGATATTTCCATTTTTATGCTCTTAATTTATACAGTCAAAAGTCTTTAATCCGGACTAGTCGGGACTTCGGCGATTCCAGATTATAGACCATCAATTTAAATCTGGTAAGATTGCATGCAGAAATTACAAAATTAAAAATATGAAACCGTAATTTATGAAATAAAGAGCAATTATGATTTAAAGGGTATCAAAATTTACAAAAAAAAAAAGGTTAATATTTATTTGTTTACTTTATTAAACATTTCTTTCAATGTGCACATGCGTAAAGCATACATTATGCATAGTCGAAATTAGAAAATTGTAACCAGAAAACTATTTGATGTGATATTTATATATTCGTGATATTTATAATGACGAGGAATTTGATTTAAATCATATCAAAGACGGAATACATCGAGATGAAATACTACATTTAGTAAAGAATTATAAGCCAAATAAAATAAAAACATCTGCCCTGAAGATAAGGATAGTGTTGACAGATCAACTTCCAGTTCATTGCGCGCCACAACGTTCTAAATATTGGTTCTAAAATATTGTTATAAAAAATAAAGCACATACAAATCATTTTATGCCAATAACACTGCAGAAAGTGCTTTTAGGCTTTGAAAGTCATAAATAAGTCACAATGATTTCTGAATGCATGAAGGAATGATATTTTATTTCATATTTTTGAATTAATTAATCATTTTTTTAAATATTAAAAAGGAAACTTTAGCATTCAAAAACTGAAAATGAGTAAAAATTTGTTGTTGCAAATTATAGTTAATAGAATTTTTAAACTTATATAGTTAACTATTAAAGGTCACTATTTAATTATCTCTTTTATAAAGTTGTATTGATAAATTTTCATGAAATATATAGTCAAATGATTAGAAAAGGGAAGATGAGAAACTGCAAGAGGTTACCTATATTAAAATTGTTTAATTAATTATCGAACTGTAAAATTATCTTCTTCACTTTGTTTATTCTTCTAGTAAAAATTAAATCTTAACATTTGCCCCTGCTGAAACATATTCCTCTACTGAAATGGTTTCCATTGAGCGGTACAACCCAGTGAATGAGTTGGCTGTATGATATTTTTGTGGTTTTTCTAGTACATGGATATATGTCAGTTTCTGAGAAAGTGCTCCAAAAATGCATCATAAGCAGCTAGCCTTAAGTATTCTTTGCCAAAACTAAAAAAAAATCCAAATTTGCTCCTGAAATATTATATATCTACCCCCAACATGTTCCATCAGAGCTATTCAATATCCAAATGATTAACTGCATGCTGTACATGAAAATGTTAATGACACTTTAAAACACATACCAAACTGAAATGAAACAAGATTTAATTTTTATTTAAAGAATATCAGGTTAACAAAGTGAAAGAAATTATGATTTCATAATTAATTTAACAATTTAAATGCAAATTACCTCATGCAGTTTCTCACTTTCCCTTGTCTAATCAGTTTCAGACTACATTTTTTATGAGAAACTGCCAATACTTTATAAAAGAAATAAATTATCCATTATTAACATCTTAAATCAAAAAACCTGCTTGAAAAAGCTGTGCTATTGATCGACAACGCACCTTATCACCCAGCAACAGGCGTGCTAAAGTCTTCTGATGGATAAATTTTTGCAAAGTCTCTCCCCCCAAACGTTACTGCGCTAATCCAACCCATGGACCAAGGAGTCATTGCAACAATTAAAAGAACATACTGAACCAAGCTGCTAATGACCAAAATTGAAGAAGGTTTTGATCTGAAAGAGTTCTGGAAGCACTACACAATCTTGGACAGCATCTACGACATTACATCTGCTTGGGACTCAGTGAAACCGTCAACCCTCATAAAATCATGGAGAAAACTCATGCCTAACGTTGAAGCCAAGAACAACCTAACCCCTTTGAGTTGTGAAGAAGAGAATGAAGATGTAGACACGCCCACGGCAACTCTTGCCGATATGGTGAGAACGTCGATGCTGAAAACATTAACGAGTGGTTGGAGTGTGATGTCAACGAACATGGCTTTGAACACTTGACAGATGACGAAATTGTGAAGAAAGCAAGGGAATAGACCGAGAACGAAGGACAGCGAAGAAGAGCCCACTGTGCAGATGCGGAAGACTCATGAAGCGGCTTTGCAACAAGTCAACGGACTGCTGAGCTATTTGTAAGAACAAGACGACGCGGAGTTGGCCGAGAAACTTATGCTATGAAAAATGCAATCTCGGATCAAGACACAAATGACTGATTTCTTCAAAAAGACGTAGTTTTACATTTATGCTTTTGTAATTACATAATACATTACTGTATTAAAACAGTACATATGTATTAATTTTTCTGTGTATCCTTGAAGCCTTTCGTAAGTACAAAGCACTTTTCTGTTTTCATTAACAAAATGCATTTTAGGTTAGTTGAGTGATATACTAAAATATTAAACGTTAGTTAAACAAACAATACTATGAATACTGCTTCCTAAACTCTAGATGTAATTGTATTTCAGTTGAAGAAACTTTTTACTCGTGTTTCTCATTTCAGTCTTCTTCTTAATGTTATAAACTAACATGAGAGACAAATACTGGAAAAGCTCTATTGAAAAATTCCAACAATATTTTTTTTCAATTTATTACATAATTATTAAATAAGAATAAAAATTTAAAGTCATAAATCATACTTCTATAATAAAAATAAACAGTTAAATACACTAAAACTTAATGGTATATTAATTGTTTAGTGAAACTAATCAGCTTTTATATGAATAAAAAAGTTTATATTTACTTATACTTTAGAACAAGTAAATTAATCTTTACTCATCCAGCATCATTTTCAGAATATATGACTTGACTGATACTCTAGCACTGGCCAAAACTTATCAGATATATATCAATATTTGATATTATACAATCTTCCAAAATAATAATAAAAAAGGCACCTTTTTTCTTTTGCATGAAAATATAAACAATAAAACCAAAATAAAGTTATATCAAAAGTTTAATTCAAATATAATTCAAAGTAGGACAATCGGTCTAAGAAATACATGACATCACGTTAGTTTAAATAGAAAATGCAGTACTTGTCCTCGCTGGCACTATTTTGCACACCTGCCTATTTCAGATTTGATAGCATTTATTGATTTAAAACAGTTGAAATTATTCTTGAATATTTTTTACGATTAAATGCTGATTGTGCAAAAAACAATGTCTGAGTAGCTTTGTTTTGCTGACCATTTCAAGCAAAAGAATAACGCAACTAGCAATTTTAAAAAATTTTTTTGCCTTTTAAGGACATCAGTTAAAAACAACAAAAAAGGCAGGAAATAAAGTATACATTTTTACTTCATAACTAATGTGAATACAATCAAGTGCAAACAGAAAAGACTTCAAATAGACTACAGAAGAGTTAAAACTGCATAGAAATATCTAACTGCTAGTGGAAGTACCAGATGCCAGTTAAGTTAGATTGAGAGTAATGTATCTAACAACAGAGTGAACGATACCGCTGTAATTCTTCTCTAATAATGATGCAAAAAATACAATTTATAGTCATATTTTTTCAGTCTCATGCAATATGGAACCCAAATAAAAAATTTCCATAGAAAAATAAACTAATTCTCTCTCATTATATCAGCAACAATGGCATGTTATTTTTAATGATTTTCGTCTTTCTAATCAAAATGGTCGTAAAAGCTCATGTTCCTTCCAATATTTCACCTATATTCAAATTTAGTCAATTAAATGCAGCAAAAAATTGATCATAATTGATCAGAAATCAATAATGCAAATAAACATTCTTCTCTCTATATATAGATTTCATAAAGCTTACAAATTTTTTATTAACAGTTTCTGCGATTTTAAAGCTAGCAGTACCAACACTTTCCAAAATAAAGCATTTTTATTTCCAATGCAAGAAACTGTTGCCACTCGAAAAAATGAGTACGAAAATTAGTGTTTTCAGAGTTTTTAATTAATATCTCAGTTGATTAAAGTCTTACGAAGATGGGAACAGTGCGAAATGGCTTCCCACGAATTTTTGGATTCAGAATAATGTATTTAACATTTGGCAATGCTGTCACATTAAAAAAATGTCACATCAAAATGATTTTTGAGAATTATTGAAAAATCATCTCAAACAATATTTCTAGTCATTTGATTTTTAAACTTATAAAATCCAATGTTCTTTCTAAATATGAGATTTTATTCAATTCTTGTTCAATATGACTTTCAATTATTATATGAAATAATCATGAAAATAATGATTTCATTAATCATAGCAAGAAAGCATTATTTCAACAGTTTGAATTTCATTCAAATATGCACTCAACTAAAGGGACTGTGAAACTGTTTCCAACTGCTTTAGTGAGCAACTTCTGTGCAGTCTTATTTCATTCTATATGTTTAACAACTTCTAATCATTCTGAAATTTCTTAAGGTGATCTGCAATTTATTAGCAAGTCTGAGACTAATTTATTAAAAAGATGATTTTTTTAAATCATTCTGGGAATAGATAAATACTAAATTTTCCAGTTTGATTTTGACACGCTTTTGACACATTTACTCTGTATGATGATAAAGTAGATTTAACTAAAGTTTCCGAAGTTATGAAATTTAATCAATACTGCCAATTAGTTAGTTCACTTCATAATCTCAGAATCTACCTCGGCACAATATGGTGACTTTTTACAGATGAAATGATAAAAGTTATTATTGGATGCAAGTTAATGGTTTTCACGACTAAAAAAGATTCCCAAACTAACAATATTTATTGTTAGTTCGCAAACATTATCACCATATGAAAAGAAAGCATACTTTAGGAATTTAAAGTATAAATTTTAATTATAAAAAAAATTCTTCAAATCTTTATGTAATATTTTGGGCACTATTCTTCTGCCTAAGTACACAATGATCTATTATCACTCAAAAAAATTAGAGAACTGCAGAGACTTGACACTCCTGCAAACTTTGGCTACAGTGGATATCTATGAAATGTACCCCCTCGTTGTTCCCTTTACTAAAGTTTTGGCAAAGTTCTATATTCCTGAAAAAATTTTACTTCAGTTTCTGCTATTGCTGGCTAATTCCTTAAGCCCATGTTTTAAGTCCTTAAGCAAAGTTTAAGGCAAAGAATATCGTGATTTGTTTATAAAACCTATAAAACTTTAAATACAATAAAAAGAACACGTATGGAAATGGTGATGTTGCTTAACTGAAATCTGTTATGAGCATGGTTGCACATTCCAAAAATTTGGCAACTTCTATTAGGATGTTTGCAACAACACATAATAAATGCACAAATTCCCTTCTGTTTCTGGATTTTTTGTCACATGTAATGAATGCAACTTCAATACTGCTGGGTATTGTAAACCCTTCTGCTAACTCTGACATCCAAATAGTCACGCATCTCAAAAACTAAAGTGGTGGACTGGGCAAGAATGTTCAGGGAAGGACAGAACGACCGAGTGATTGTTCCCGTCCTAGTTAAGCACATACTGGACAACTGCACAATGGTGAATGAGGATGTTCATGCAAATGGATGTCTCACTATTTGATTCACAGCGGATGAATTCAACATGAGTTACAGGACTAAACCAAAGATTCTGATGGATCTGGTATATCACAAAATATGCACGAAATGAACTCCCAGGATGTTGATGCAGGAAGAATAGTTGAAGTGTCAAGAATTTTGCTTGGATACTGAGGTGAAGGCCACCATCTATCCATGTTTTGAAGGACAAACTTCAAAATTTTACATTGAGTGCATTTAGATTGGTCACACAATGGCACAAATGACTGAACTAAATCATAACGAATGCCATCATGTATAAAATGTAGTTAATACAATTATTACTTTCATAGATACTGCCAACAAACGGTTCTAGGAAAAAAAAAAACCACAGGAAACATGCTCATAGAATAATGCTCACAGGTATAAATGCTCCCAGGAAAAAAGCCCACACAGAAATTTACTCACTTAGAAATATGCTCACATGGAAAAAAGCTCACATGGAAATAAGTCCACTGATAAATAAAATACATAGAAATATCCTTATATTAATCATTACAATCATTAATCAATTTGAACATCGTACATATACTTGAATTGTTTAAAAGAAAAATTATTTGATCATTTGAGAAAAATTATTGGACAAATGCTCACATAAACCTTTTTCAGGGGCAGTATATAAAATAATGAAAACTATAGTCAAACTTTTGCATGTACTATAATATTTATACTAGCTGCCCCTCTACAACATTTTTATTCTTGTAACTGCCAATTGTTAATTTGTGTCCTTTAACTGCCAAAAGTTAATTTTTGTTTTTTTACTCTATTTTTGCATAGTTTTGATATGTATCTATATAAATTGGTGTTTGAATGTAGTTATTTAAGTTTGGAGCCAAAAAAGTTCTAGAAGACCACAGTTTCCAATCGAAGTGTGGATTCATTATGAATGCAGCCTTCGAAAAAAATCTCCTAAAACCAAAAATTGTTACGAAAGCTGTCATAAGGTACTAAATTCATTATTTAATTGTATCCATTCCAGTATGTGGTTTTTATTTGATGGACTCATAAAAGATTTAGCCTGTCAATGTTTATTATTAGCTATTGTAAATACATGGTGTACTGAAGTAAAAAAAAAAAAGAAAATATGAAAACTTATATTTGCTAATCGCAAATCATGTAAAAAACTATGATGAAATCGATGATAAAATTAAATATTGACATATATTAGCATGACATTCAGCATGTTTATGTATTCATAACTTTTTGAAATATATATTTGTGATTTATATATAATAAGGTACTTTCGTAATTAAAAAAAAATAATTATTTATATTTGCTTATTCTGCTAAATATTTATATTATAAAATGTGTAACTTATATTTACTAATATTTTATTTTTTTAACAATTAAAATTGTAATAATTTTTCACTTATATTCTGTTTAATTTTTCTTCCTTCTTTCTCTCCTTTTCCTAATTCAAAACAGCTCATTTGTTAACCTTATATAGCAACCGATAATCTTATATAGCAACTGATAATCTTATACACACATAAGTTATACAGTTTTTGATATATATATATACCATAGATATTTTGGTAATTCAAATATTTTTTTCTATAAACAATTCACGTAGATGTATGATATTCAAATTGATTAATTATTGATTGCTTAATCTAAGGATATTTCTACATATTTTATTTATCAGTGGGCTTATTTCCGTGTAAGCATATATCTATGTGAGCATATTTCTAAGTGAGCATTTTTCTCTGTGAGCTTTTTTCTATGTGGGCATATTTCTGCATGGGCTTTTTTCCTGTGAGCATTTATATGTGTGAGCATTATTCTGTGAGCTTTTTTCCTGTGGGCATTTTTCCAGTCACCCAGCAAACAGGTTTAGCTGATCAACTCATATAGTTTACAATAACAAGCATAGTAAAATAAATAATTCTTTAATAAACTGAACTGCACAAAAATGTCTGAAATTACGGAAATAATTTTATTCCATATTTTTTAATGCTACAAATATTTGATATTTTCTAATACTAAACTTTACACTATTTGAATATGTAAAAGATCACAAAATACAGTTTTTTCTCCAGAAACTGTCTAGCCACATACCTTGAAATTCCATTCTCAGTTTCACTTAATATATGTATGCCAGGTCTAGGGGAGGAAAAACATATTAGATAATCCATATTTAAAAAATCCATATAAGCATATGGAAAAGACAAATTTTATTTAATGCACTGCTAGCCATTAAAATTGCAATACCATGAAAGAAAGGAAATAGTAAAAAGATATTTATTGTACATAAACAATATGGCACAAAGACAAAGTGACTAAATTTGTAAGCATTTTGGGGGTTTCCAGTGGTGCGAAATTAGTAGAAACAGCTGCCACCCCTCGCAGCTAAAAAGGCCCTTACCCCATTAGGCACGGAGTCAAACTGGGCTTGGATGACAGAAATGGGCAACTCATTCCATACTGCTTCAAATCTATACCACACTTTATCAACCACATTAGCTGGAGAAGAGTGGCAGGCCAGTTTCTTAGCAATCCATGACCAGATGTTTTCAATGGGTGACAGATCTGGAGACCGTGAAAGACCAGGGCAGCAATCGAATATCCTGTGTATCAAGGAAGGTCAGAACAAGACGTGCAACATGTAGTCTTGCATTATCTTATTGGAAGATGGTGTAAGATAGGGCACAGCCACTGGACATAAGATATCAGAAATGTACCGATATGCAATCATATTACCACAGATACGAACTAGAGATGTGCATTGTCGTGTACCCAATGGCTGCCCAAACCATCACACCAGGTGCAGGGAATCTACGCCTATACCGAATGCAAGCAGGTGGTGAGCGGTCTCCTCGGACACTACAGACACGTATACGGCCATCAGAATACTGCACTTAGAACCGGGACTTGTTTCAAAAGGTGATATTGTGCCACTCCTGTACCCAGCTTTGTCGTTTGGCGCACCAAAGGCACTGTCTCTCTCTATGCTATATTGTAAAGGGAAGCCGAAGTAACGGTCATCCTGCTGATAGTCCACACTGCTGCAAACATCGATGCACCTTTAAGAGCTGGTATTGGGTGTGCTGCAAACATGCCTATTTCCTGACTAAAGATCCATGATGCATATGGTTTTGAGGGCTAACCTAACAATATGTCTGGCTTCTCTGGCGCTAGTCAAGGGAGGGCATCGAGATTCTGCATGCTGTTCAGTATGACCCTCAGAAATCCATTGATTCCATATTCACATAACAGTGGTTGGATGTCGACCAGTGCGACCGCTGATTTTTGCGCAACGATAATCTACAATTTTGGTAGGCAACGATCTTACCTATATGAAATTTCAAAACTTGCTGGTAAGCGTATCCTTGTCTTATTCAAGGCATAACACGATATTCTGAGCAAACTCCAGCCTTACAAAGCACTTTCCAAATGAGAAATCCTTTACACAACTTTTCTTATATACAGTGCTTCAGATGTTATTTCTCCCTCCTGCGTCACCTAAATGCACTGAAATACTAATCATTTACATATCTCAACTTCTTCCTTTCATGTGATTTTGACTTTCGTTAGATCATTCCTTCCTGGTGTTGCAATTTTAATGGCCAGCAGTGTAATAATAAACAACTAAAATTATATTACAAAATCTAGCACTTCAAAAACCAAATTTTATCATTTTTAAAGGTTTAGAGAAAATACAGAACAAAAATGATTTTGTCACAAAATAAATTTGCTTTCTATATTGCACTAGTGGCTTGTATACATGTTACACATTGGTTGAAAACTAAGAAAATGACCATGTAGCCAGCCCTTTTGCCAGTGTCTGAACCACTAATATTTAACAACTTAACCACTCAGCTGTTGGTGGGTCTAAATATTTGCTTGGAATATAACTCAAGTTCAATGAATCATAAATGCATATACTTCACTAGTTTACCTCTTTTGTGACAATGCTACAACTTGCACATTAGCGTCAGTATATCTATTGCTGTTATTTGGCAAACAACCTGCACTATAACTCTGAAATTTCAAGAGTTTTTGTTTTGTATTTTTTTCCCTCTCTTCTGTTGTAAATTCATTAACAATGAGATTTGGGAACGCTGATGAAAAGAGTCAAGCATATAAAACTGTTAGGATCACCAAAGAGACAAAAAGAGACTGCTTAAAAATATGAGGATGTCATGCATATCCATCCTGCTACTGCATATCGTTAAGCAAGTACAATGGTGTCTTATATTGAAAAGAGGGTGAAATCAATTACTAAATAAAGATCGGAGACATCCAGAGCACAAAAAATTGCCTCTAACCCAGATACCAGAAAAAACATGTACAGAGTATCCTGCAGTGCTTCATTATTTCACCCACTGCATTTGTATCTTAGTATTAAACAGTGTTATAACAATAGGATTTTTTATAAGAACAGATTAATCATTTTCCCTTTATTTCTTACTGGAAAAGCAGTATATGACCAATTAGTTATATATATCCAAGGATCTGGAAAGGATTAATGATATATACTGAGGTATCACTGTATTCATTTGATTTGCTTCTATCAGTCATGACTTTTCAGCGAAGGCACTTGTTTACATAACTAACTCCAACTAAAGTAAATTATGTTTTTTATGAACTAAGAGTTATGTCGCAGTTTAAAAAATATGAAGGCAAACTTAAATTTTAAACACTTTTCATGCTGAATTTCAGATTTTCAAATATCACTTTTAATTTTTTACACAAATCAAGCTGAAATTCTTAATAACAAACAAATGCTCCTTAGTAGCATAAGTTCATGCTCATGTCAACAAGAAAAATACTTGAAAATTTAAAAAAGGCCTACTAATATGTAAATAAAATATTTCTGAAGATTTAAAAATAATTGTTGCTCTATTTAGACTTCTAATAGTCAACACAAAATACTAGTGTTTCCTTTGCAAATGTTACAGGAAAAACAAAAAAAAATCCTTACATCCCCAATACCGACTAAAATAACCACGAGGAAAGTTTAATAATAGCAACAGTGTGCTTGTGGATCTTAAAACACTATACTTTGCAACATAAGTTTTTGGAAGAACTTTCTTAAAGCTATGGATACAAACAAATGGCTATTATTCACACATATGAGAAAATTTGTTGCATACATAAAGGTAAAATCTAAGAAGCTATTTTTGTAACATTATAAATCAGAAAGTCATTTTTGGATCAGAAATTAAATCTGTAGATTCTGATGTCAGGAACAAACTCTCTCAAATCAGAGCATTTTGCATTTAAAACTATTTCTGTGTAATACTTAAAAAAAATATTTTGATGTCAGGAAGAAAAATCTCTCAAATCAGAGCTTTATGTATTTTTATTGTTTCTCGCTAGTCAAAGTTGCAAATTAAGAAGTTTTTTTTAAGCACTAATATTTTTCTGTTGTTTTCTATTGTACCCAGTTACTTCTACACATAATTAGAGAACCTAATCTTACAACTAAGAAACTTCCTGTATTTATAATGCTTATTATGTAATTTTGATATATAAAATTGATGAATTAAACAGCTTTCAATCTGGATACCATAGTTTAAATAAAAATATGTCATTAACTAAGTCATTAACTAAGTTACAGCATGCATGGAATTAATACTCTGAACTCTCTTCCTTTCTCTTAACATTTTGGCCAAAGTTATGCATGAGCAACTCAAATAAAACACAAACTGTAGAAGATCAATGTTGTACAAGAGGGAGTTGGCAAGCATTAGTGAGCAGAGGGCACTGCCTCATAGATATATATATATTCAGTTCTTCCCCTGCACCTACAGTTTACAGTAGGCCTAAATAAAAGTTTCAGGTTAAGTAACGACACACTCAACATGGTAAAAACACAGAAATTCAAACCTAAGTAGAGCCATACTGCAGAAGTCACAAACAAGAGTATTTGCATGTATGTTTTGGTCAATGTATTAGGCTAAAATGATATCAGCACTAAACTAAAATGTAAGAAATATTATATCATATATAAAAGAGAAAAAGTATATTGTGTTCTATATACTTTGCATTATTTACTTTGTTAAAATGTACATAGTGGAAAGACCAACATGGTCAGATTTTTAAACTTCATGGAATTTCACTACTGATATCAGCAAAAGATGTGGCACTTATTTCTTAAAGATACATAGTAAATGTCATCAGTCATATTCCCTACCCTTAAATGATGAACTTGAACATATTTGCTGTTCCATTTTCTGTGTACAACCATCATGTAAGAAATCATTATCTAAGTTTTTACTCTAATATTTACATTTAAGTTGTCCCCCCTTTTTTTTTAAATTTTGTATAATACCACACACAATTTAAACTTTATGAGTAGTATTGCAGCTATAACAGCCCACTTCTTAGTAGGTTTTGGGTCCACTTGTAACCAGGTAATTTATCTGTGCGCTTGCAGGTAAGAGTTTCAATTTTGATTGCTATCAGAATGGAAGAGCTGCATAGGCACTTTTATATTTCTCCTCAAGTGTAACATAAACATCAAATGGTCCTGTTTAAAATGCTCTCTATTAAGGTACCCCTCTTGCAACAGACAACTTTTGAATGTTTGACCGACAAAATAATTTCAGATTTAATAATTTGTGCTAAAATCCAATTTTAAGAACTAAATGTTAAAAGCACAATAAACAAATATTATACTTATAAATTTTTTTTAAAAGATTCAGAACATACTAAATTATTAACTTACCTAAGTTCTTCAATTTTCTTCTTAGACTCAAGCTAATCAAAAGGAAAAAAATGGGTACATATATACGGATACACATACATGTAAAAATACAGAAAGAGAGCACAGATGTTCTGAATTATATCAAACACACGCAGTTTTGTACAGATATAAGAACATTTTCTTTTCTAAAAGGAAAAACATACTTGACATTTCCAGATTTTCCATTAACTACACAAATATGCTCATACATATTAATTATTTCCGGAAGAAACTGCACTGATAACAAAGCCTAGGTAAATTTAGTGATGAAATATCCAATGACAAAGAAAGATATAAATTTAGATCATATAGAGGGTATTAACACACTTTTAAAATAATTTCACTGGCATCAAATTAATGTTTAAAATTGTTATTATTTAAAATGTTTTCTGTTATAACTTTTCTGGTCTATAAATCTGTATTATATTTTCTGTGACAGAGAGGCTTTTCATAAAATGTTAAGATACTGCCTTTCACTTTTCACGCAAAAAGAGCATTTTTCAGCAGGCCAAAAGCACAACAGTCCACAGGTGAAATGTCAGAAACTTTATGAATATATACAGATGGAGGACAAAATAATACGAACACCTGTGAAATAATGGAAAATTTTTATTAATAGGGGGTTGGACCACCCTTTGACTGAATTACAGATTGAATGTGACGTAGGATAGATGCATAAAGGTCATGGACAATATTTAAAGAAATATTAAGCCACTCCTCCTGCAGAGCGGTCTCTAATTCCGAAAGTCTGGATGGAGGTGGAAATCGCGAACGAAGTTTGGACTCCAAATATGCCCATAAATGTTCAATAATATTCAAGTCTGGAGACTGAGGGGAGAGGGGCAAGCGAGATGTTCAATTGTATCGTCATACTCTTCGAACCATTCTTGAATGCACCTAGCAGTGTGTATGGGGGTGTTGTAATCATGGCCCTTATAAGAGATAGACTAACCCAGTGGGCATGGCACGCGTCACCGACATGTCGGCAAGAAAGAGTAGAGTCGATCTGGTTTACTTTAACACTGAAACCTATGGCGTTTGTATCGCATAACTCTTTTTTAATTATTAAATGTGATACGTTGTATAGTGATGAGATTATGAAAGCCACAGTTTTTTCCAAATAAGATTTAATATATCTCATTAAAGCACTTTTTACTGAATTTCGCACATTTTTTTCACACGTAATTCTTGTACAAACATCTTTACTTTGGTAAAACGATAAAAACTCTAAGCACAAAATTTATGAACTTAATTTTGCGTAAAAATAAAGTAACATTAAATAAGATTGATACTAGGTGATGCTTTGAAATAAATAAGGTAAAATTAAACAAGATCTGATAAATTTTTTCTTAAATTTAATGAACATTTTCAGGCAGTGATTTTCCAAACTATAATAACATTACCAAACGATCATATTTATTTGATTATATGATCATTAAATTATTAACATTAAAGTGGATTAATTATTTTAATAATTCATAAAATTCGGAGCATAAAATTTTCTGAGCGTAATGATGGGGGGGGAGGGGGAAAAAGATAAAATAAAATCTAGAAGCACTCACATTTTATATTATGCCCAAAAGGAACCTTTTTTTTAAAGTTTTGTATGTAACCTATATTTATTGAATATCATGTTCTTCGCCGGTAAACCACATATATTTGAAAACAGCATATCTTTAGAATTTCCGTACTGGGGATAAAACTCGGTTTTGGTGGAGGATTACATTATTCAAAATTTTATGGCTCTAGATACTGTCGTTTTTGTCACAGTGCAATAAACATGCATGTATTCACGCAGATTCTTCATTATTTAATTTCTTTACATATAATACAGGGCGATAATATTTGGTAACAACAATTTGCAAGGAGACACGGACACATATAGTAAAACAGTGCAAAATGCCGCTTCGAAACTAACAGCCTTTCTAGGCTACCACCGCTTTGGGCTAATAAATTAAATTTAAAGTAAATAAAAAAAAAAAAAATCTTACACAGAATTAAAAATAAATTTAAAAAAATAATCACTATAAAATACAAGCAAAATTAATTATTACAGTTAAATACAATTTTAATATTAGAATTAAATGTATAAAAATTTTTAAGGAGTCGAAAGTGTTTATCACTATGATGTATTATGAAATGTAATTGAAATAAAATTCCTTTATAGAAATTGTGCTATAATACCATCTCTAATTTTAATAAAGCAGCACAATTTAGAATTTTAAAACAAAACTTTCAAAAATTCGTTTTTAAATATTTTAGTACTTTTTATTTATTTACACCAATAAAATGCATAAAAATTGCAAGAGAAAATTGCTTGTTTGAAATTTTCCATTAGTTCAGATTTAAAATATTATTTTCTAAAAGAAGTAGTTACAAATTTCCTTATAGCATAGGAAAAGCTAAAAAAAATCTCCAGCCCTGAAAGCATGCAATAGCTTCATAATTATTTGGAACGTTAATTATGCTTGATAAATATGCTAAATTTTTAAAAATCAATCTCACTTTCAAAAATAAAAATATGGAGAAATTCTGATTTGTGAAATAAGGCACTACAACCAACTTTTTCTTGACAATTATACACGCTGCAATAGGCAACCAATGTTAAATTTCTGCAAGTCGTCCCTACTCCTCTGGATGTGATCAAGGTGACAGCCGGTAACGCCTCAGATGAGGGAGAAAAACCTGTTTGGGTTAGTCTATTTCTTATAAGGTTCATGGTTGTAATCTTGAAAAAGCAGTCACTCCCCAGGGAATACAGTTTAGACATGATCCCCTAGAATGCTTAGATAGTGATTGGATATGAACCTCCCATGCAGAATAACAAGTGACCCAAGACTGCACCAAGATTTGACATCACTTACTATAATGGTGCCACCCCCATGCTTCGCAGTCAGCAAGAGGCAATCAGGATGAAATGCTTTTTTGGGCGTTCTCCAGACATAAACACGTCCGGTCATCTGAAATAGGGTGAATGACGATTCATTTGACCATATTATTTATTGCCACTGCTGTGAGGACCTGCCTTTGTGATATCTGCACAATTAGCGTCGCTTGAAAGCATTAGTTGCTCTCACCAAGGGTTTATGAATTGCCACTCTGCCATAAATGTTTGCAGCATGAAGTTCCCCTTTGACAGTTTTTGTTGAAACGGGGTCCTGGAGATGACTGTTCATTTTGGATGCTATCTCGGATAATGATTGCTTGTCCTTTCGGGCTACTATGCACTTCAAGATCTGTCTAACCCTATCAGCCAGCTTTGACTTTCGACCACTGTTGCGCTTTGAAGACGTCGTCTTACCCTCTATCGTAAAAGCTGTCATAATGGTTGATACCGTACTACTTGCACACCCCACAAGGTTTGCTGTTTCCGTAACCGATGCTCTACTTAAACGCGCTCCAACTATTATTCCTCTTTGGAACTCTGACAGGTATGACATTTCAACTTCTCACAGACATACATAACATACATATCGAAGCCTACAACACAGGTGACTGCTATTGAGAAACTGATACCTTCCTCTTCACGCTCAATTAGGTGCCAGACTTCTGTTGCAGGTGGAATGGCTGTACTGCAGGTGTGAAATACGACATACTTTTTCACAGGTGTTTGCATTATTTTGTCCTCCATCTGTACATTAAAAGTGTTTACATGGAATTCTTCTGGTGAACTTAACTTTTTTTAAAACATTACAGCAACAATTTTCAGAATATGGCTTGTGGCTTTGCCTTGGTATGATTTTATTCTTCAAAAGTCATCGACTACGAATGGAATTCCTTCTACAAATATCAAACGTAAAGCATTCGGATAGTAAAATAAACCAATTTCACCATTTATTCCACTTTGCTTATTTTCCATTGTAGGAAAAAACTGCAACAATCGAAAACATCTTATTGAAACTTTTTTGTATTGCTGTAACCACATTTTAAGAACTTGTACTCCTTGCTTTCAATAATAAACACATTTTTTGCTGCGATCATTTAAATAAACCAACCATTATTAAAATTCATACTGTATTTCCATCCAATATTTGATAAATTGTGCCCATATAGGTCTCTCAACATTTTTAGGTACTAACATATTATCCATCAACCATGAAACTTTTGCCAAGCAATGCGATTTAACACCAATTATGCATTAACTTGTCACAAAATCTGTGCTTTCATATGATGTAACACCGATAGATTCTTGATAAGCTATGTTTTATTTTTACGGTTTGATTTATTTGAGCACTTGAGGGCTATACCAAGGGAAGGGATGCCTTCATGGAGAACTTGCTATGAGAAACTGGCTCGAAAAGCACAAATATGCCCATGCAGCCAGTCCGTTTGCTGAAATTTGAACCCCAGACCAAACTACCAGGGTTCAAAGATTTTAATACTCGGCCACTGTTGGGCTCTTGATTCTTATGCATAAGGATGTAAATTAACTGTTACTGTATTTTCTCTCTGTAGTTAAAAATTGCAATTAGAATTTGGAGCTTGCCTTCTACAGAACAACAAGCAGTGGATTACTTTCAAAGTTATAGGACTGTAACAACAAACAAAATATGTATTAATAGACACAATACAGTCAGTTGAGTATGATCCACAAAATAATATGATTGGAACAATTACCTGCAAGAAGTTTATACTCATATAGTTCTAACAGAGCTTTCAGTAAATTCCGAGAGCCGAACAAAATAATAGAAACGGACGAAAGTCATTTTACAAAATATAAAAATGAAGTGGGTAAAATATTGATTGCTTATTAAATTAAGAGTTGCCAGTTCATTCATACTACACAGAAATAGTTGGAACATCTTTGGCAGAAACTCTACCAACTTTCAGAACCGACAAGATATTATCCAAGAATCTGTATTTAGCATTCAGCAACGTGCCTCAGCAAAATCTTGAGAACATTCAGGTTTTAACTTTTTAAACTGGAAATTTTTGCGTATTATTTCATTTATTGTCATTACATACGTATTTACAGAATTTGTAACTGATTTCTGCATCAACAAATTTTCTGTTGCTTCCACAAACTTCATTTTAGAAGCATTAAAAACAATACATATATTTTTTAGTACTCATTTGGTATGTAAAAATAATAACTAATAGTTATTTTATTAATAATTTATATCTGCCCTTAGAAATTTCAACACTGTGCATTTAAAAGTGTTTTATGCTGGAAAAAAACTGGAGTAAAGACATTTCTCTTCAGAAAGAGTAAAAACATATTATTTGATCCTCAACGTGTTTACATACAACATTTTGAAAAAAGAATAAATTTCATGTGAAGCTGAGACTATTTCTCACTTAAATTATGCACTGCTTCTAGAAATATTCATTTTGAAACATTTTAAATTATTTAATACCTCATTGAAAATGTTCGAAAGATGTGTTAAAACCCTCTGTAATTTTAAAATGAATAGAATGGAATTTAGTTGTATGTATATTTTTTTGTAATCAATGTTAAACTGTAATGGATATGTCGTTGAAGAGTTCAGCATTTTCACATCTCTACAGTAATGATGAAAGGAATGGGGAAAGAAAAAAAAAAAAAAAAAACGGAAAGTTTGATTCAATTTTAAAATAACTCTCATTCTTACAGCTCGAAAATGGTAGTTAGACTTTTCTTGATATTGGACAGATATTTCTTTATCTGTGGCTCCTGAACCATTTGTACACTGCTTTACTTTGGAATTTTCTGTCCCTATGTAAAACAGAACATTTATTAATCAAAGATATTTTAATATAAAATTATAGGAAATCTGAAATATATAGCTTTGAATTCACCTTCAATTTTTATTATAAATAAACAAAAAACAGTATGAAAAATTACTAGATTTTCCTATCTAAATGTGTATACTATATACCATACTATTATAAATGTATATACTAGATCTAGCTTACCATCATCACCAGGATGACTTAGTCTCCCTTTTTTCTCCTTTTTCTGCTTATCTTTCCCCTTTTCAACACTTAGAAATTCACTTCCACCTGAAAATCGCCCTTGCAATCTCGCATTTTTCCTTTTATCTTCACTCATAATCTGTAAGAAAATATCAATCAACAAAATAAAGAGGTATATTTGTATCTTATTAATTAATCCCTTTCCTATAAATGCTAATACAATCAAACCTCTACTTCTCAGTCAAGCCTCTTCTAACTTGAAGAACCCTGCGAAAATGTTGGTTACGATAAAATGTGATTTAAGATGAAGAATGTTTTAAATTTAAAATTCAGAATAGTAATAAAATTAAATAAAATGCAAGATTACATATATTAATGTATTCATTCTATCAAAGTTATGCATGAAAATTAAACAAAGTCAATTTGAAAAATTACCAGTCAGTTCAGTTTGTTTTGATTCTCAGGAACATTTCATATCATAAAAATGTCTTACATCTTTATAATGCACGGGGAAAAAACTTCTGGTACACTTTCTTCAAACTGAAAACTGTGTCGCAAAGCATCAAAAGCATTCAACATATCTTCTAACAAAGATTTGCGTATTCGTTTTCATCAATGTTTTCATTTTCTTCATCATCATCATCAATAGCATCGTATGCTATTTTTTATGCCCCCAACATGTCCTCTTCAGCATAAACTTTTCACCGAGAATTGTAAAATTGCAAAAACGTTGCTCAAATTATGAAGCATATATAGCCAATGAATTCAGGAAAAGGTAAATTTTTTTCTTGTAAAATTTTATTTAGATCTAAATTTTAGTATGGCGGTAGAAATCAAAAATTCTTTTGTGAATGTTATTGATTAAATAAGCGACTGCATGTATGCATGCGCATGGATATTATATAATAACTTCTGAATGCTTTTAGCTGTATTAACCCAATTTGATATGAATACTCGTCAACTCTAACACTGGAAAAGCCTAAGTACCATGACATATTTTTTGACATTGCTTTCCAAACAAGTACAGTCAGAAGTTGTTAATTCGGACACCCATCATCCGGAATGATTTATAATCCGGACCTCAAAGCCACAAACTTTCTGCACACGTGTCGCGTTGATGCGTGCGCGTCAGACCTTTATGGCTGCGAATATGCGTGTGCGCAAAATACGTTTACGAATGCGTGTTTAATGTGTAACGGATGGTATAAGCTAAGCTAAAGTTATCTAATTCAGTTAATGTTGCAGATTGCATTGTTCCTTAATCCTTCTAATTTGGATACTGGCTTATTGCAGGCTTTTATTGCAGACTGTTAGAGCAGTTTTATGAAAAGTAAACCTTGAACTTTTGATTAGGTCAAAATAGAGTTTCCGATATATATTTACTGAAGCTGCAAAAGGATCTGCAAGGCAAAAGTATTTGTTTCGAAGTCCATTAGACAAAAAGTGGAATTGCTGCAAAAAAATGAATAAAGGCATAATCCTTTGTTTATCTAACCATTCTGAAACCTGTTTATCTCAGTTTCATGCTGCTCTGTTTATCTCAGTTTCATGCTGAGGGGGGGGGAGCGCCGTGGCGAACAATGAATTGGAAGTTGATCTCTCAGCACTATCCTTATCTTCAGAGCAGATGTTTTTATTTTATTTGGCTTATAATTCCTTACTAAATGTAGTATTTCATCTCTCGTCTTTGATATGATTTAAATTAAATTCCTCGTCATTATAATTCGCTTCCGATAGTGAAGAAAGTGACAGAGGTTATTGAAAACGAAAAAATTTCGATTGACAGATTTAGTCGGTATTCTTGACTCAGCAATTATAGGACTTGAACAGCGGAACTTTGTAACTGAACAAGAAATTATGTCTGTTTATAAAATTAAAGAGAAAGTATTATCACATAAAAAACGAAGCAACTTAAACAACTTACATTGAAAGAAATGTATAATAAAGTAAACAAATAAATATTAAGCTTTTTTTTTTTTTTTTTTTTTTTTTTTTTTTGTAAATTTGATACTTTTTAGATCATAATTGTTCTTTATTTCATAAATTACGGTTTCCTATTTTTAATTTTATAATTTCTGCATGCCATCTTACCAGATTTAAACTGATGATCTATAATCCAGAAAAATCGATAATCCGGAATCGCCAAAGTCCCGACGTCTCCGGATTAACGACTTTTGACTGTAGTTAGTAACAGTTGAGTGAATGCATAGGGCAGTATGATAGCATACATAGATAATGTATAGAGTCAGTAAATATATTTCAAATGGTTGTGGAAATAAAACTGCATAAATAAATAAATAAAAAGTTCAATAAATAGTTTAGGAATTTTTGTAAGATAGCAAGAGATGGTACTTTTCCGTTTTGCTGGCGCAAGCGATAAAGTCGCCAATAATAGTACAACCGATGTCAAACGGAATATTCTCGCTGGTAACCGTTTACGCCTCATTTTCAAAACAAGTCGCAGCGTTTTCTTATCAGAATGATTGTTTCTTTCAATACTGGCATATAATTACATAGAATTTTTATCAGATAGTTCAGTTTTATGTCTAAGGCCATTTCGGTATTAAGTCAATAGGATGCAATCACAGGGCTTACCGCAAGCCGAAAATATAGAAAAGGCAAAGTCAAAGGTTAAATTCATTAATTCTAATGAGAATGCATTAGCGAAGTAAAGCACTGCACTTTTACATAATTTATGAGTAAGCTATTCGTACGCATTGAAATATTTCTGCATTTAAACTTGTGTTCCAAATTAAGTTTTAACTTGAAATTAATGTAGATAATTACTGAGAGCATTAGATTTTTGTAGAGTAGTTTACGTGAGATGAGATCGCTTGGGGTCACGTGCTATGAACTGGCGAATCAAGATGTTGAACCATGAAAGCATAGTAAATTCTTAAATTGAAAGCATAGTAAATTCTTAAATTAATGTCTTTTTACAAATTTATTGTCTTTATTTATTGTCTTTTTATAAAGTTTCAAGCGATATTAAAATGTTTATGCCTTCAAAAAAAGAATTCTTAGAACTAAAATTTTTTTAATATTTTTTATGTGTATACTGTATGTTGTCGCCAATAAAGTCTGCTTGGCGAGATTTGCGCCGGCGAAACGGAAAAGTACCTTTTATTTTATACTCCAGCTTTCATCGATTCCCAAAGTGGTCTTAAATTACATGCTATTCATAATACAAAATATTCTTTCATCCTCCCAAGGCACACATAAATGCTCTACTACATGAATAAAATTGGTACTTTTCCATTTTGCCGGCGCAAGCGATAAAGTCGCCAAAAATGATACAACCGATACCAAACGAAATATCCTCGCTGGTAATCTTTTACGCCTCATTTTCAAAACAATTCGCAGCCATTTCTTATCGATTGATTGTTTTCTTTCAATACTGGTATACAATTACATAGAAATTTTGACCCAGATAGTTCAAATTTATACCCTAAGAAGGCCATTCGCGGCAATTAAGTCAATTAGGATGTAATCACACCACTCACCCGAAGGCGAAAATATAGAAAAGGCAAAGTCAAGGGTTAAATTCATCAATTCTAATGAGAATGCACTAGCGAAGTAAAGCACTGCGGTTTTTACATAATTTCGGAGTAAGCTATTCGTACGAATTGAAATAATTCTTGCATTTAAACTTGTATTCCAATTAAGATATAACTTGAAATTAATGTAGATAATTACTGAGAGAATTAGATTTTTGTTGTACCGTGAAAGCGTAGCAAATTCTTAAATTAATGTCTTTTTTACAAAATTTTAAGCCATATTAAAATGTTCATACCTTCAAAATAAAAACTTCTTAGAACTAACATTTGTTAACACTTTTTATGTGTGTCTGTGTTGTCGCCAATAAAGTCTGCTTGGCGAGATTTGCGCCGGCGAAACGGAAAAGTACCCAAGAGATAAATAGTGTCAAGGATGTCACCAGATAATAACATTATCATGTTTCCTGTTGACTCAATAAGCAATGCCCTATTTATAATGCTGATAGTACATTTCCAAGAGTGAAAAATGAATATGGCTGCTGCATTATTCTATGATGTAATATTATAACTTCAAAAAGTGAAGCATCATTTCGCAGAAAACATCAATAATGCTTAAGTCTCAGTCTACTGAGTATTTGTTTTAGTTTTCTGTGATAAGATCAATTAAATAGTATGTCATAGCCTGAGAAGCCTTGCTTTAAGGCAGTGTAAAATATAATATTGTTGCTACCTATGTATGTTTTTGAAACTACTCATTGTTATTTCTTTCAAATATTTTACAGTCCAAAAATTTAAATATGCTATAATGTGTAGACCATATAAACAGAATTTTAATACTTGTAAAAGAGCATCAAAGAACAACAGATGCCAGAAAATTCTGTCTTTTGCAAGTGCTATGGCAAAGAATATTGGCACTGAACTGCAAGCACCGAGAATTGTAAACTTTGCTCCAATCATCATGCATCTACAACCAATAAATTCTGGAAAAGGGTCTCTTATTATCCCTTATTTGGATTCTTTAATACGATCACTGGAAGAAAGATTTTCAAGCAATAATTTACCAGCATTTTCTTTGTTGTTATTACGTCATGTGATTTTGCTAAAAAATGTAGAGGAAGAAAAAAGTTAAGTGTTTGCACGATTTTTATAATTTGAAAAATTTGACAATGAGAGAGAACTTTCGTACAGTTTTTGGAATATGAAGAAGCTAGCGATCGACAACACGAGGATGTTAACTACGGAAGATTTGGTAAAATAAACAAAAAAACTTCCCCCCCCCCGGAAACAGAACGTGCTCTTCTTATATCTTTGTCTCAACCATGTACTACAGTCAAAAGTCTTTAATTCGGACACCCATAATCCGGACCTCAAAGCTACAAACTTTCTGCGCATGCGTCGCGTTGATGCATATACATAAGACCTTTACCGCTACAAATTTGCGTGTATGCAAAATATGTTTACAAATGCGCGTTTAATGTATAACGGACGGGATAAGCTAAGCTAAAAATGTATAATGGACGGGATAAGCTAAGCTAAAATTATCTAATTATCTATTTCAGTTAATGTTGCAGATTGCGTTGTTCCTTAATCCTTCCAATTGGATCCGGATTATTATATTTTCCAGACTGTTAGAGCAATTTTATAAAGTAAGCTTGAACTTTCCGATTTATGCAATTTGCTAATATGTAATGTGGATCTACAAAGCGTAAGAATGTTTCGGAGTCCATTAAACAAAAAGCGGAATTGCTGCAAAAAAAATGAATAAAGGCATATCCTTTGTTTATCTAACTTTGTTTATCTTAAACGCTGTGGCAGCGTGCAATGAATTGGAAGTTGATCTGTCAGCACTATCCTTTTTAAGGGCAGATGTTTTTATTTTATTTGGCTTATAATTGCTTACTCAGTGTAGTATTTCATCTCGATGTACTCTCTTTGATATCATTTAAACAAATGCCTCGTCATTATAATTCGCTTCCGATACGAAGAAAGTGACAGAGGTTAAAGAAAACGAAAAAATTTCGATTGACAATTAGTCGTATTCTTGACACAGCAATTAGGACTTGAACAGCGGAACTTTGTAAATGAACAAGAAATTATGTCCTGTTATAGAATTAAGAGAATGTATTATCACATAAAAATGAAATAACTTACATGAAAGAAATGTTTAATAAAGTAAACAAATAAAATATAAGCTTTTTTTTTTTTGTAAATTTTGATACCCTTTAGATCATAATTGTTCTTTATTTCGTAAATTACAGTTTCATATTTTTAATTTTATAATTTCTGCATGCCATTTCACCAGATTTAAACTGATGATCTATAATCCAGAAAAATCGATAATCCGGAATCGCCGAAGTCCCGATGAGTTCGGATTAACGACTTTTGACTGTACTAAGCACTCATTTAGTACCCTAAGCAGAGTAAAACTTGAATGCACTTTACAATGACAGAAAATTGCTTAAATGGGCTGTGTATGTTAAGTGTGCATCGTAAGCTTGTTCGAGAAATAAGAATAGAAATAGAAAAAGAAGTTTTAAAACAATTTAATTCAGATAGCAGAAAAACTGTTGTAATATAAACTAAAGACCAAGTAAAAAATGTTCAGAAGTCTCTTTATTCTCATCTCCGACATTTCAACGATCTGTTTAAACTCACAATACTCCAGTTCTGTTATTTATTTCCTGATTTATTCGACTGTAGCAATGATGTGAGTGCTATCCTTAAGGAAAGCTGTCTTAGAGGAGAATTTGAGACAAACTGGCTCATATACATTTTATAATACACGAGCAAACACAATAACCACAAAAACAATCATGCAGTCAACCAATTAATTTGCTTTCAAATCGAATTACTGGATGCTCAGCAATTTTACCTACTCTACCACTGACAAAGTCGCGTCATATCAGTTTTGGATTAATCTTCAGATTATGGTAACTTGGCGATTTTGTGGCGAAAATTTGGCGACCAACCCTGCTACAGCAACCTGCTAGTTTTGTTTTGGATGCCATTTTGTTTTCACAAAGTTAAGGCTTTTTTTTTTTTTTACTCAACATTTTTTCCAACAATCTGCTAGCCGAATTATGCTTATACTAGAACTTTTATGAACAAAATGCTTAATCATGACGAAGATCGGTCGAAATTGGGAGAAACTGCAGAATCGCAAACTGCTTGCCATGTTTTTTAAGATTGCACATACACGTATCCATGTACACGTCGTCCTATTTTCACTTAAAAAAAAACATCCCAGAATTGCTTAAAAATGGCATTGTGCACACTCTTAACTTTATCCATGTACACTGCTAAAATCCTAGCTAGTAACCTTTATTGCCTTACGAAAATGTCGCCAAACTACTTGTTACCATATTCCAAAGATTAGCCCAGTTTTTTTTTTTTTTTTTTTTTGGTCTAAGATCGTTTGCAACTCCCTAAGCTCCCATGCTGGCTACGTCCATGCACAGCCCCACAATCTTTCTACCTTTAGGTGTGAAAAACACTTCACAGTTAAATGGCCATAACTAGCATTTTCAAGCTCATCTATTTAACATGCTTACCTGCAATCTGAATATATTGTCAACCCTTCCACTATATGGTCTACAATCATTACAAAATTGAAGTGTGCCTTCCTTCCCAATTTGGAACCTGACCAAGATCGCATTCCCCACATCCAAGGCATAAGCTTCCAAATATTCACTGTTGTGTAAGTATCCTGGCAGAGGTTTTTTTCCAACCACATAAACAAACTCTCATCAATTTCAACTATTTTTCCAGGGCCACTTATTCATCCTTTAGGTTGTGAAGTACAAAAAATGACAGTGATAATGATATGTTAGCCTATTCATCCAATTTTGAATCCTACGAACTTACACAGTTCACTGGTCTTACCCATTTAACTACTTACATGCTATTAAGTGAAAAAAGTAAGACATATAACAATCCTAAAGTAAATTAAGGATTAATATTATACCAGCTAAAATTTAATCTTTAGATGCTTTAGAGACAATTATTTTAGAAGCAGATTTTAGAAAAGTTTCAGAAAGTACTTTCAAAATAACACTATATTATTTAGTAGTAGACTGCCCAGAAACTGTGAAATAATCATTATTTGGGGGTAGAGCAGACTTTAAGGTATCCCTTGTATTATGGCAAAGTTGTTGTTTGATTTATCGCCAAGTTGTTGTTTCATTTATGGTAGCCTGAGTAGTTCAATGTTATGGGAACCCTATTGTGACATAATCGGGACATGATTCTGGGAAATTTTGAATCATGGGATGTGTTGTAAGCGTTTTTGTGGTGTGTGTTGGTTTGATTCTTTAGACGGTAGAATGGCCGACTGTAGTAAGATTAATTTGCAGTTTCTGTACAATTTGGGGCAAAAGAGCTTTAATTGACTGGTATGTAAATAAAGTTTACTTATTAGCCATTATAAGTTCCTGTATGTAGGAAGGATGCGTCTAGTCGAACGTAAAACTGTTTAAATGGATTTGAATGGTTTGTAGGAAAGGTTCAGATGGTCACTATGTGAAAGCGTTCGATCAAAAGAGTACCTGTTTGAAAAGTCATTTGAGTATGATTGAATATTTTGTTTTTACGTGGATCTGGGTTACGAAGCGAATTCGAAAATCATGGTAAGTGAATATTTGCTTTTGGTAGTGCTTAAATGTAGAACCTTTTTTGCCCATTTTTATGTTATTTTATTGTTTGGTTTAATATGTATTTTATTGGGATTATGTATTTTTGTTTGCCTATATTATATTGTAGAATTTGGTGGTGCTTTGACTTTGTAAGTGAAAATATATCGATGTGTACATGGACAAAGTAAAGGGAGTGCGCAATCCAAGTTTGTGCAATTCTGGGATTTTTTTTAAAGTGAAAATAGGTCGACATGTACATAGATAAAGTTAAAAGAGTGTACAATGCCACTTTTGTGCAATTCGGGGATTTTTTTTTAAGTGAAAATAGGTCGACGTGTACATGGATCAGGAAGTCAAAGGAGTGCGCAATGCTATTTTTGTGCAATTCGGGTATTTTTTTTAAAGTGAAAATAAGTTGATGTGTACATGGATACCGAGTTTGCACAATTGTTTTTCTTGTTGTTTTGGCTTTGTGTAACGGCGATTTTGGGCGCAAAAATCGCTGCTTCGCAAGCCAAAATAACGAGTCAAAGAATTGCGCAAAATCGGTATCTATGTACCGTCAAAAATCGCCAAGGGGTACCCTAAACTATACTTTTACCATATTTTGAAATGCCCTGTTATATTTCTTATAAAAAGAGATTCTGATATAAGAAACCAAAACGCCAATCAGTTTAATGGACTCTGCCCACGAAAAGCGAACAGCATGGTTAAATCCACAAAACCCTGATAGTTTACTTCTAGTTATGTTCTACGATGGTGAATGGGTAGGCAGCATGATTTGTTTCTATTAAAGCACATGGCATATAAATATGTAACACTTCTTTTAGGAAGTGCCCGTCCGACGATATCCAAGCCTTGATTAAGCTTTATTTACGGCGAACAAAAATAAGTTAGTTCAAATAACTGTATTATTTATTTTAAATATGTCCTGTTATATAGAAAACTTCAGTAAAAATACAAGTTATCCTAATAATATAATTTAGATGTAAATACACAAATAACATTCATTATGAATCAAACTACACGTGTCTCTAAAATTTTAAGACAGAACCCAAAATTTGTAAATGTATTTGGATATAAAGTGTTGCAGATTATTTATAGGTTCAGAAAGTAAATAACGTAAAAAATACTAAACTTACGTGTTAAAAATCAAATAACACTGAATCAGCAATCGCACAACTACGGTTCAGAACCGAAACTTAGTTCTCGCCGCCACCTGGTATATTATCGTCACTGTTATTATTGTTGAGTGTCTGGAGCAAGGCCAAGTTGGCCTTGGTCTGGAGTACTGTATCTAGGCATCCGAATCCTTCTGGAAACAGGCAACATTGGTTGAAACGAGTCAGTCGACTGCGCAGAAAAAACTGTGTTTTTCGCGCAGTGAGCCTTCCTAAATGCTATCTCAGTAGCATGCATTCTTGATGGGAATGTTATGATCTCCTTTCATATTTTCAATTTATGATATTTCGAGTTTTCTTTTTAATTTTAAATTATTTTACAGTTTCAGCAGGCATGCAAAACGTGTATTTTGAAATAATTTTTTTTAAAACATAAATCTTCTTAAGCACGATGTTATGTATAATGCTTTAGCTCATTTTTTATCTGACTGTACCCTGGCGCGGTCTTCTTTGAAGCTGCAAAAACGTTTGCTCGCGTCTGGTACTTTAACCTTATTTATATACTAATCAAACATACTTTTCGGAATAACTTGTTTCGTACTATCGCTTTTACTTTTCGCTTCAAAATCTCATTCAGGAGAAAATTTGGAAATGCATAGTGGCGTGGCCTTCGAGATAACATGGCCTGGTTGCGTATTTCCAAACCCTACCCCACTTTTCGAATTTTTGACGTCACGGAAATATCGACTAGTTTCACCTGGCAAATAGGAAAACAACGGTGGCATGTTCCTAAAACGTACTCGCTGTACCTCCTGCTGTGAGAGCTGCTTCGCTGCTATTGGTTAGAAGAATTTAGACGTAACATAGAGCTTTCGACGTCATTTGTTTTGTCACGTGGTAAAGCTTCTCGTACTCCAGCCATACTTATACCGGATTATTCGGATCGGTTTGCGTCGGCGGTTAAGTTTTTAATCCTTTAAAAAATCAGTTTAAGAAGTCAGAGGTGATTTTTATACAACTGAATTAATTCATATGTTAATATAGTTTCACTTTATGCAATACACACTTAGAAATACCGGATCATTACAAATGAAGGAAATTTTTATTTGCTTGAGAGGGTTATAGCCATATTGCATTTTGCTAATGGAATGTTGGAAAAACATTTAACATAGTTTTTTAATCTTTTATTGTGATACAACCCATTTTTAAGAACAAGATTAACCAAGTTTACAATTATACGCCTAAATTTATCTCAGTTTTCACTCTGAGATGGAATCCCAGGAAAAATAATTGTTAATGATGGACTAGATCATGTAGTTATATACAGAAAGCACCGGGATCTTTTCCTTTACTGAATAACATTTGCCAGTCAGTTACCAGCAAAATATATATGCCTACATTGCCTACTGTCCATTAAATTAAATATAACCTTGAATCGCTCTTAATATTATTTTGTTTTAAAAGTCTATTTCAGTTAATTCTATCAGTACCTTTAGTATGCATTAGGTAGTAAGGAATTTTTTAGACACACACTTGCTTGGATTATCCTAAATTTTCATTTTTTAAATACACAGTGTCATTTCATTTCTATTCTACTTCAATTACTTAAAAAAAAAAAAAAAAAAAAAAAAAAAGATGGGGATGACTTGTGTGACAAATTGATTTTAATTATTTTAAATTTACCATTAATATTTTAAACTACTTTTCCATATTTATGTTTGCTCTCCCTTAAGGAAACAAATTAATAATATAAGTTATTAAATTAAAATTCCCTCTAATTCCATCTTTAACAAGAGAGTTTAATTCCATCTTTAACAAGAGCCAATATTGAATTTACATTCTTACCACAGATGTGGTAAGTCATGAACTCATTGGCAACTTTGAAGATCATTTGCAAACTTGTTGGTGAGTTAGGAGAGGGATGTTTGTGTGCATATCTTTAAATTTATTTCAATGATGCATCCACCACCCCCTATTCTTTTACATTCTTCTTCAATACAAGACACGCACAATTCTAGGCTTTTTTTCACCGTCATTGTCCCTATAAATCTTTTTAATAAAAAAAATCAGAAAATTGCAAAATTTTGTCACCGGAATCCTAAAATGAGAAAGGAAAGAGAGGCATGTGATGCCTTTAATGTTGTATGCATGCAGAAAGCTACGCCGCCAAAGATCTTACCAAAGACAACAGAAACTGCAGTATGTAGTCCACTCCAATGCTGAAGTACAGAAACTCCCATAGGAGGGATCATAATCTGCAACCACACTGGTGAAAATATCTGGAGAAGTGCTGTCTGGGAGAATGCTATGTGTATACTTGGGGTTGCCATATAAATGATTTTTAGTGACATTTTAGCCACAATAAATTTTCTCGCGCATGGTTTAGACCATCAATCCTTTTTCAACGCATTCTGGTGAGGTTCAGAATAGAAATTACCAAAATTCATCATTTTAATTATTTTGAGAAATTATACACTTTGTGAACTGTGATGACAAAATTAATAAGCGTCCTTCCCTCAAACCAATTTCCTTTCTTCCAATAATGATTTATTTGCATATAATCAACTTTACTATTGGCAATATGCTTTGGAACGATTATTATTTCAATCTATAGATTTTTACTTTACCACCAAGAAATGCACAGACATCATGCGGGAAATAACTACCTCTAAATCTGAGAGTATAATAAACAGTTACCTTTGTCACAATTTGAATTATTATTTTAGCACATTGATACTTAATTTTTTAAAAAAAAAAGCACTATCCTACTTGATCTGGTTTTTCCTACCGGAGTGGTGATGAACTCACTATTGACTCATTGATTAAGATAACATAATCTTTATGTATGGCTGTTACGTTTATATTATTCTTCATTCAGAACTAAGTAAGTGCTACATAGCAAAAAGTTAAAGTAGTTTTTTTAAGTCACCATTGTTTTCAGCTACTTTGGTAGAAAAAATAAGAAGCCCTCGTATACTTTGCAATATTCAAATAACCTAACCAAAACTTCATTAGAACATTATAAGTGACTACAGCTATAGTTGGGCATAAAACTTTGCAAATAGAAGGCTAAACAATATAAATTCATTTTCTCCAGATTAATGTTAGTAAATCAACCCCATCAAGGATCACATCCATGGGTCTGCATCAACAAAATACCACATTATGTCATGCATTATGCATCCCCATATAGGTCTGAACCAAGTGTATCGTATGGTCCATTACATTCCGTTGCCTTCACGTTTACGCTCATCGGTGGCCGGGCAACCTGTATGATGCAATGGGCAGCAAGACATATCACCGTCAAAATATTTTAGAATTTTGGCAGGAACTGGAAGGCATAATTTGCAAGCAGCAGTTATTGCATTAGGTGATAAAGTGTCTAGCTCTGGCTTCGCTAGCAGCCAAGCGGTAAAGTAGTTGAATACTGATAATTCGACCTGAATTTATTTGGTGGTCGTGTGTGCTTAATGCATGAATAATTAAAGAAAATAAGAGTAGACAATCTCCTATACAAAAGAATATTAAATACTAAATTATAATTTAAATTACATTGCAGAGATCAACCGAGCTCGGAACACAGTTCGTGCTACCTTCGCGTACATTGTTGACGAGAATCTGAGTGAGTAAAGATGTCGCTTTGCTGCTCCGATTAAACTGGATTTACACGTGCGCCATCTCGTGAATAGAATTGAGTATCTGTCGGAACGCCAGTCCCCCCCCAAGTACCATCGTACTTATAAGTACTTTGGGTTAATTTAACTTTCTCCAGATCTGGTATTTTAGGTTTCTCTTTTACGGGATGTAAGCTTTCTTCCTGAGTTTGATGTTGATGGGGAATTTTGGTCTTGCATTAGCATCTGTTTAGAATCGATTCCAATCACCGATTGTTTGCCATGCAGATGATGGTGAAATTTTTCGTGTTCGTTTACAACTTTGAATGACCATCATATGAGGGGTTAAAGTTGGCTTAATTGCATCGTTGCCACGAATACGTGCGAAGATGTCTCAAGCGCAGGATGTACAAATAGCTTGTCTGGTTATGCGAAGATGCTGGGTTGGCGAGATATTGCTCTGTAACTTTGAAGGAATGTTGGAGGGTCAATAACTGATAGATTCTGGTTAAAGAATTCACCTGGCGACGGAGGGTTGCACCATATAACTTTCGGCACAAGTGCTACCATTCTTTCTTTGAATGCTGTGCGAAGACCAGCAGACTAGGGTAGGCTTCTGTCCATGTGTGCACGTGGCACTTTAGACCTTGTTTGAGATCGGTGAAAGCGTTCCACCATCCCATTTCCAGATGGATGGTATGGTGGTTGTGCGAATATGGCGAATGCCAAGAAGAGGGGAGGATGCGAACAATGACATTGAAATTGCGGCCTTGTCGTATGATGGGGGTAGGCAGGCCAAATCTTGAAAGCCACTGGGAGATGAATGCTCGAGCTACAGTTTTCAGGGATATATTTTCAATAGGAAGCTTCAGGCCATCTTGTGTACCGATCAATACAAGTGAGGAGGTAAGTTAACTATTTGAAGGAGGCAATGGGCCACCAAGTCTAAGTGTACATGATCAAAGCGTCCTTGCTGGAAGGTTAAATTGTTGAATGGGGCTGTTAGTGTGACGGGATACTTTACACACGTTGACATCTAAACATGAACGAGTCCATTCTGTGATGTCTTGATTCTTGCTGGCCAGACAAATCGTCTGCATCAGCTTTTTTGGTGGCACGATCCAGATGTCCAAATGGTGCAAGGCATTAAATACTTCACGTCTAAAATTGACAGGAATGTAGGGATGTATTCTATTGTTCTGTATGTCACAGTAAATTTTGAGCGTTGGATCAATGTGCAGTAGTTGTAACTGAAGGAGGTTTGTGGATTTGAGATTAGGTTCTTTAGTTCCTCGTCAGGCAAATGAGCTTTTGCAATTTCAGAAAAATCTGGAGTGGTGAGGTCGATATTATTTATCCAAAATAAAGCATCGGTGGCATAATTATCAGTACCAGAGACATATCTGATGTCCGTACTAAATTGGGCAATAAAATTCAACTGTCGAAGCTGAAGAGGAGAGCATGAGTCAGAGGTTTTTCTAAAAGCGAAGATTAATGGTCGATGATTGCTGAAAATGATAAAGTCAGGTCCTTCCAAATTGTGCCGGAACTATTTAACAGCAT